GTAATTTCAAGCTAACACTATGGCAGCAAGAGCAGCAAAGCGAGCTTATAGTACTTCTCTGCTTTTATTCCATCCACAGCTAGCGGCCCAGCAGCATTGTTTAAAGTGGCTTGGTCCCTATTAGGGACAATTGAGCCAAAAATTGTTTGCTGGGCTGCTGCAATAAATTTGCTAAGCATCCGGAGGATAAACTTGCTCACATTTGCTCAGAGTTGATTGAACTTTGGGCAAATCCAGATAAGATGACAGAGGTTTTGTCTTATGGATCCTGAGGAGGTCCTCCGTGTTGTTAACTCTGCCACTTGTAGATTAGATCTCTGCCCTCCCTGGCTGGTGATAGGAGGCTGCGTGCTGGTGTTCGTAAATGTATCCTCGAGTGAAGGGTTGTCTCCTACCTTGAAAGAGGCAATAGTGTCTCTTCAAGTAACTGTCATTGCTCCAGCCATTGTAGATGACTGTCAACCAGTCTTCAGTCTTTCCTTCTTAGGCAAGGCTGTTGAAAAGGTGGTTCAACTATAGTTGCAGAGAGCTTTGGATGAATCAGATTATTTGGACCTTTTCAGTCAGGATTCAAACCTGAGGGTGGAACTGGAATCTCATTGGTCTTTTTCATTGGTGATCTTTGGCGGGATTGGGATGGAGAGAGAGTGACTGTCCAGCTTCTCTTGGACCTTTTGGTGACCTTTGGTACAAATGCCCAGGATATCCTCCTGGACTGACTGAGGGTTGGGAATGAGGGGCACTGTTCTTCCTTTCTGACCGGCCAGTTTCACTTGGGGTGGGGGGAAGAGGTCAAGTCCCCAGCCATTCTGTTACAAGATGCTGCAGAGCTCAGTTCTCCTCCCTCTTCTCTACGAAACTATTGGGAAGGTCATCTAGGGTGAGAAATGGGCAAGAGATGAGGTGATGGTCCTGATTTGGTGCCTGGAGGCTGTTAGCGTCTGGATGGGAAGAAACAGGTTTACATTGAATCCTACTAAGGCAGAGTGGCTGTGGATTTGGGTGCAGACTGAGTCCAGAGACAGTTCATCTTTCGAGCTGGGAGGGTCCTTCTGGACTCATGGTTTCTGCTTGAACAGCAGGTGGAGACCATGATCAGGAGGGACTTTGAACAATTAATGCATCTTTGTGCCAGTTGCGGCCTTTCCTGGATCAGGAGGCTTTATCACAGTTACTCACGTGCTTGTCATCTCATAGCTGAATTACTGCAATGTGCTTTAAATGGGTCATCCTTTGAACACCATCCAGAAGATTCTGGTGCAACATGCAACATCCTGGATGCACTGACGTTCACCTGTGAATACCACTACTATGGGAACTACAATGGCTGCCAGTTTGTTTCTGATATAATTCAAGTTGCTGCTTGTCATCTTTAAAGGCCTATATAGCTCAGGGCTTGGATATCTCTGTGATCCCTTCAAGGAGTTGATTTTATTTTTCGCTGAGAAGTCAGTATACGAATGTTGTCAGGAACCTTTTCCAAAAGAACAACTGGCCATACCTTAGCACACCAGTTGTTCAGTGATAGGTTATCTTTTAAAAAATTGAATTTTTGAGCAATTTTCGATTTAGCAGCCAGAAGTAAGACTACAATAAATTCATTTTTGTTTTGTTTACAGTTACCTCTGTCAAAAATATGTAATAAGCCCAACTCTGGAACACGTGCTACTTTTTGTTTAGTTATTCTAACTTCTTTGAATAGTGTTTTCCCATAAGGTACCATTTATTTACAAGTCTACCACATATGAAAAACGTGTTTCCTTCTGACTGCAATCCCTCCAACAGTTTACTGAATAACTGAGATACTTGTGCTAGTCTAGTTGTAGTTAAATGCCAGAGATGTGATTTCTTCCACTGTGTCTCTTGTATAGAACCATCTGATTTCCAAAGTGTTTTCAACTTCACCAACTCTGTTCGTTTCCCTAAATCTGTATCCCATGTTTCTTTGAAACCTGCAAGGAGGTCACCCACCTCCAATTCTAATAATAACCTATAAATTTTTTATATTGTTCCTTTGGGTTGGGAAGGGTAATTAATGATTAATTTTTTAAAAGTAATGGACAATGAGATGCTGACTCCATCATATCCTTTTTTGAAAAGGATTATAGTTGGAGCCATGTTAGCCAAGATAGATGGGAGTTATACCTCCTTGTAACTCAGTCTCTTCTTCTTATTGTAGAAGTCTCTTCCTCTGTTGCAACTGAGATCTCTCCGAGGTGTTGGTTGTGTTAACCTGCCCTGATTATAGAATTCTGGGTATACCAAAAAAGTGTTAGAGGAGAGATGCCCTTTATCAAAACTCTGTATCCTTTCTTCCCAAACCTAAAGTGTAGCTTTTGTGAAAATATTATTTATATTATCAATGTTTATGAAGTTTTTTGGAAGAAAAAACACCTGGCTCAAAACCATAATTTGTCTTCTGTATATTTTCTAGCTGTATCCATTGTCCAATATGAAGGGAATAATATGTCACAATTGTGCTAGCTAATAATATAATTTAAAAAATGGAATTCTCCATTCTCCTGGTTTCTGAGGCCTATATATGATCTTTTCTGTTTTAATAAAGTAAATGGAAAGATCATATATAGACCTCAGAAGTTCAATTTTCTTTGCCATAGTGTTACTGTTTTATTCAGCACTTCTACTGGAAGAGTTTGAAATAAAAATAATATATTGTTGAAAGAGTCATAATTTTTACTGCCACAATTTGACCCAAAATATTTAAATATTTCTAATTCCAGATTTTCATTTTTTATTTTCTACCATATTGGGAAAAAATTATTATTCAACAGTTTGCTAATGTATTATGTGATATTAATTTCTAGATATCTGACATACTAATTTTATAAACAGGAATACTGTAATATTTAAGAGTTTTCTGATGAGGCTAGATACATTTTTGGAATGAAGACTGACTGATCAGGGCATATAATTTTTCCCATAATTTGTTTAAGATGATTGGCTAGTAGTTTAGTATATAATTTATGATCAACATTAAGGAGGGGTTTAGGTCTGTAAGAAGAAACTTCTAGTGAATCTTTACCTGGTTTAAGAATTAAGCTTATTTTAGAGTTGTGCCAGGGTAAGGGAAGACCTCCCTGATGCGGCGCATTGCTTAATGACAAGAATTCTGGTGTAATAATATCTATAAATGTCTTATAGAACCTGTTAACCTATCAGGACCTAGAGATTTCCCATTTTTAATATTTTTAAAAACAAAATCAGTTTCTTACTGTGAAAATGGAGTACAAGTATTGAGTACTTTTTACTAATATTTTTAGTATTTGTGATGGTGTGGCTTTAGTATCTTTCATTGGCTTTATATATAAATTTAATAATAAATAAAATACTCTTTTCTTTAATTTTTAAAGCTTATTTGCCAATAATTTTGAGGTTTTATTGTCGAATTTGTAGTATTTTTGTGTTAAAAATACAATTTGGGTTGATATTTTGTCAGTTTCTAAAATAGTGAGTTATTTTCCTTTCCAGTTGCTTATGGTGTTAATGGAACGTTTTCTAGTATATTTTATCCATAAATCCTTAGTTTCTGAAGATAATGTGTTCATCATCTGTGCAGATTTCTTTCTGATCCTGCTCATTTCACTTATACATTCATTACTTATCAGTGCCTTCATGGCATCCCATTTTGTGGTTAACAATGTTCTCTACCATTTTTTGGAATTTTTTTTCAAGTTCTGAGCTGAATGTTTTTTTGCTTGCAAATTAAATGGCAATTAAAACACCAAAAATGAGTGAACGGGCTTTTGTCATCAAAATTAAACTCAGATCTAAAATTTGTCTTCTGTTTTCCCAGCGTTTATAAATATGCAAAAAATAGAAGAGAATCTTTAGCATTTAATAGAAAACATTATTTAGCATTTAAGATTGCAGTTTGATGCAGATGTAGAAACCTAGGGATATATATAAACCCTGATTGATTCTGATTTGCTGCTTGTTGTGGTTTTATTATCAAACTTCCCTTTAATAAAATTAAACCTTCCCTCTCAATGGTTTTGAATCTTTTCTATCTATCATAAAGTCTGTATTAGCTTTAAATAAGATGGCTATCCCTAACCCTAACCTTTCTGTAAAAAAATTGCCTCCCAAATATTTATCCTTAATATTTTCTGGTTTATGTATTTTCTGTAACATAACCTTATGGATTGAAGGAAGGATCAATATATTTATTGATTCTAGTTCTTGTTACAGGATTGCATAAGGAAACTATTCTATATTGTCCACCCGGTGTCCTATTACACTCCAGCTATTCCTGTCTTGCTTAACATTTCTGCAAAGCAAACTTATCAATAGAGAAATCTCAGCTGTCCTACCAACCGACCCATTTATGATTGAATTTGTGAAAAATGAAGAAAGATTAGCTATCCCTTTTTGCCCCCATTCCCTTTTTCTCCAGCCCTCCCCCAGCTATCCCTTCTCCAAGCTGAATCTGCCTGTCCAGTAAGATCTGGGAGAAAGAGCTTGTTGAGGCCCCACCACTGAAGAAATGGCATCTTCAGGATCCTAGGCTCGATCTGCTCAGTGGTGGCCCCCATTACTTTGGAACAGCTTATTCCCAGAGATCTGGACCGCCCCCTCTTTAGTGAATTTTCAGAGAGCCATAAAAACATGGCTCTTTGGGCATTTGGACATGAGTAAGATGCTGTCTCCAAATGGTGATGCATCGGACTGATCGGTTATACATTTATTATTTGATTTTTGTTTTTAAATCTGATATGCTCAGACTCTCTGGATATGAAGCAGCATGTGCATTGCAGTAATAAATAATGTTTATCCTGAATCATTAGGATAAAAGTGTGTTGTTGCTTTCATTGATACACCAAAACTTTACCTGGTCCTTCTCCAGATTCTTCAAACCTGTGCCATGGACATGTTACTGCAAAGTCTACCTTCATAAAAACCAATTTATTTCAATAATATTCAGCATTTTACAATTCCTTTAAATGATATGATGACAATTGTGTAGCAAACTGAGACAACAGTAGCATATTCTTGTTTAATTTCTTTTCCTGACATGTCCTTTTTTTGTCAAGAGCTAGTGTGTATATTTTTGATGGATGTGCTATAATGCTCCTTCATCTCTTACTCAAAGGCTGGATCAAGACATTTGACAAATACTATGTTGACCAGACACAGCACATTCTGAACAATATGGTGATGAAGCTGCAGGAAGACCCACGGCGGCGCTTCATCTGGTCTGAAATCTCTTTCTTTTCCAAATGGTGGGACAACATCAGCAGCCAGAAACGAGCTGCAGTCCGCAGGTAACGGGTGATTTATTTTTTTTCTGCTTTTAGAATTTGGGGGACATAATTTCAGAAAGATCATATAATGGGTTGAGTGTAATGCATCTGTCCTTAGTGGCCTCATTCATGCCATGAAAAAACCTGGTGCAGTAAGTTAAGGACTTCAGCCACAGAGGTAACCCTATATGGATACGTATCTGAGGAAATACACTGTGGCAAAAGATGTGAAATTGTTTTAAGAGCAATAGAGTCCATGAGCAAGAATGCCTCCATAACTAACTTGGACATTGTAAAGTTTTTTGTGTTTACTCTGTCATCCACAAAAGCTGACAAAAATTTGCTCCCAAATTTCATCAGAGAATTTGGGAATTGGTTTTTTGTCCACCTTTATACCAAAATTATGAAAAGTCAGTAGGAGTTGGGAGCATCACTTCATTTTAGCAAGAAAAGTATTGACCGCAGAAACCTGGTGGAATGGAGAGAATTAGCAGGAAACAATTATTTCTGGTTTCAAAAATTTACAAAGAAAGATCAAAAATGTAAGAGAACGATAGAAAAGATGGCATAGAGATATCAAGCCAGAAAATGCAAAGAAGACAGATTCATTCGCTGAATACATACAATTAATCCCTAGGCGGAGAAATAATATTATATATGAAACATAGTGGTGTTCTTAAGAGGGAGCAAGGAATCAGTGAAGTAGCCATAGAATAACAGTTATTAACAACAGGTAATCTCACTTATTCTCACACCAGGTCTGCATTTCCACAGTACTTTTAAACTTTCACCAAATTAACCCATTTTTCTGGATTTGCACACTATATTGAACCACAGGTTGACCCAAAGGGCTAAGTAAACACAACACAACATACCCAGTCAAGTTTAACACGAAGCGTGTTGTGTAAATGAAGCTGGTAGAGCTTTAACTGATCTGGTTAAATGTGATGTGGAACACAGCCAAAATAGATCATCATTGTCCTCTTCTGTCCCATTAAAAATTACAATTTGGTGGCAATTCCAGAAGGGCCTTGGGGACTTCAGTTTATGTATCCCTATTGAAATGGTCCACTGGAGAACACCTGGCTGTGGAGGTGAACCAAAGGGAGGCAAATCTCAAATTAATTCTATGTGCCACCAGTATTTGTGAAAGACGTTCTGCTGAATAGATTGGGAACATGGAGTCAAGTCAAGTGGGGTTTTGTATTATAACTAGTCTCTTTTTTTTTTAACACGTTGATAAATAATCTACCCGCATGGCTGAACAAGCAACTGACAAAAGATGCCACAGATGTGGTAGTAGCCATAAGTGTAATCTGGTATCTGGTCCTTTAAGGCTGAACAGCTCTCAGTATCTATGGCCTTAGAAAGGTGGAAGGGAGCTAGTAGAAGAGTGGCATCTTCGCTTACCCCTTGATCCCAGGGATGAGTACATTTAGCAGAGAAGAGGTTGCTGGCAGCTTTCAGGGATAGAGGAGGCGGTCCCAGTATTCTAAGAAGAAACCTCCCTTAGATCCAGAAGACAGAGTTGGCCACGCCAGGCAAGCATCCCCTTCTTGGGCAGGTACTTGAACAGGAAGTGAACTCCCTCAGAGGAGATTCCCCCAAGCCTTGCCAGGCCCCTATAATGTTGTCACGTTAGCTTCAAGTGAGGATTTTGTAATGCTCCTGGTCTGTTAAGATCTGTTTTGGCAGTCTTAAGCTATGCATTTTATTAGGTTCTGAAAATAGTGTGGAACATTTGTGATGTATTTTGTATATTTCACTTCTTATAATCAACGATTATAGTGATGTAATGATGATTGCTTTTAACTCTTGGACTTTGCATATCATTCATTGGCTAAACTGTATAAAGCATGGTTTACACATGGCTATCTCACACTCAAACAAATCCTACTTATTTATTTGACTTATATGCTGCTTCACCTGATGTCAACTGTGAAGAGCTTACATACCTGAACAAGGTTAAAACAATAAAGATAAACAATAAAGAAAAGTAAACTGCTGCATCTGTTACTGGTGCCAATAAACAATAGCAATGAAATAAATAATCCCACTGCAGGAGGAGGAAACTCAAGGCCTGCTAGAACAGGCCTAACCCTAAATCCCAGCAAGAATGGCCTATATGAATTTTAGGGGTAATGCTAAGAAAGATCTGCCCCTGTGATTCTTGCTGATGGCATCTCTAAAGGATAGGACATGGAGGGAGACTATCCTTCCTGAACTTATTGGATGGACAGGTACCACTGAGAATAGGCAGTCCTGAAGATACTCAGATCCTAACCCATGAAGGACTTTAGAGGTGAAAAGCAGAACTTTGAATAGCATCTGGAAGCCAACTGGTAACCAGGGCAGCTCTCACAGTAGAAGTGTTAGTGGACAAACCACAAGGTACATTCTAGACCAGCTGTAACTTCTAGGTGATCTTCAGGAAAGCTCCATGTAGAGTGCATTGCAGAACCACTGCAGAACAAGGCACCTGACTCCCAACCTTCTCCCCTTTATTTCTTGGAGCTCTTCAGTAAACCAAGGAGCTTCCTTGGGTTGGTGGGAGGGTTGAGTGGGGAGACTGGTACGGTAATGGCAGTCTTGGCTTATCCTTGAATCCAACTTCACAAGCAAGACCTCACATCTGTTTGTCTCTGGAATACTGCCTCTGATCATCTGCAGAGTTTGGCAGATGATAATAGCCATCTCCCCTGTTCTGGCTTTGCAGTTCTCACCAAACCCCAAATCAGGATAGGCACGTTTCAGAGAGGGTACACCTTGTTCTTTGCCCATCTTGGTAATCCAGGTCAGTCTACCCTCTTGTGCAGAGTGAGCTTGTGGATGAGGAGAAATTTATCACAGAGAGAACTGGTATTCAGCAATGACAACCAGAGGCCAGGGCTTCTGAGGACTTGGTAATCTGGCTTGTGGGTTGAGGACATGGGGGTGCAAGTGGGACTTAGTCTCAAACAACCAATGCCACTTCCCCAAAAACAGCCTGCCTCTTGCCTCCTGCCATATCTTCCTCTGCCCACCATCGATCTGATCTTTATCAATACCCTATCTCCTTCTATGGTTCCCCAATAACCATGCCTGGGGGTCCTCTCTAGGCATCTCTCTTTCCCTGAATAGCCAGAATGCCTGAGGTGTTGCTTGCCAGCCATCTCAGACCTCAAGTACCCAACAGACAGCTACCAAGACTCAGCCAGTCTCTTAGATGTCTCCTCATTATGACCATTTATTTCACAAGCACCTTTGAAACATGATAGTGTCCCCCAGTCAGCGGAAAGCATTCTCTCTAGCCCGTTGCCATGTTCTTCCTTCAGCGGTGCTGGATGGCAAATACAAAA